GAAGAACACGTTCTTCCGCGGTGATAGGCCGAGCTGCCAGCGGGCAAGTATATCGAGTCTGAATGAAGACGACGGCAAACTATAATAGCCGAGAATAGAGCACGCGCCCGCACGACGAAAGGGTGAGCATACACGCTTACATATTTCATGTGCGATGTATACAGGTGCTAAAGCATGCGCGCGCGCGCGCGCGCGCACGTACGTATGTACTTGGATTACGAACACACGGACGTAAAAACGTCAAATGTGTGTGTGTGTGTGTGTGTGTGTATCGGCCGGATTAAATCTTCCTCGCTCCTTTGTCTTCGATCTTCGTTTAACGTGCTTTCCTCGTGTCTCGCGAAGGCGCGCGTTTACTCTTCTAATTTGCGTCATTAGAGTCGCGACGAGGAAGGAGATGCGAGGATTGCCTTAAGGGATCGTGCCAATCAATGGTACAGACAAAATATTTATCTGCGCTAATTGGCAACATAATATCCTTAAAGAAGAAAAATAAATAAATTTAAATTTATGACGAGGAAAAATTCCAGGAACAAGAAATATGAGCAAAAAAATGTCTTAAAGTTTGAGAATCAGGCTTACATTAAGTATTATCAATTATTCTACGTTTAATCGTGATGTTGTCACAATCAAGTTATCGGCAATTTTATTAATGGAACAAGACAGCTTACAATAGTATTAACGTATGCTTATCGCATATGATCTTCCAGACTCAGCAGCATTTATCTTTTGATAAATACAAGCTGCCGTTTAATATGACAAATAATCGATCGTAATATTTAGTAACTCAATTTGCAACATCAAAGAGCGAATTGAATATATGAAGGAACGATTAATTTAAAAGTATCAGGTAACATGATTAATTCATACATGTAATGACACATGTCGTAATGATTCGTTATCGAACTGTAATAATTATCTCTCTTCGTTGTGTGACAGCTGTTCTACATCTGAAATTTATTCAACGTTTCAGATCTTAAATGCCACAATAAACTGCGCTATGACGCGGTGGATATTCGTACGAGAGAAATTAGCATTTATGTGGTGACAATGTTAATTTATTACTATATACATACATTTATCTCTCGAAAGTTTCAACTTGACAGCATAGTTCAGTCAAGTATTGTTCTTACAAGATAAATTGTAGCCTGTAAAATACATAATTAGAAGAGAAGTTAAAAAATTAAATGAGTAAAATCATACCACTTCCAATAGGAATTATGGTATTACCAGAGAGAAATATGCCTTGCATCATTTGCGAAACACGTGAGTAACCGACTACAAAACAGTTGAATCAACCTCATTGGGCAGGCTTACAAGTGTTCTTATCAGAACCGGAGATGACCGGTCTCCGCCGATCGATCTAAAATCATCTCGGTGCTTGCGATTCGAGCGATGTCGATCGATCGCAATCTCATGGACTGGCAGCGCTCTAAATCAATCTCCATCGATAAATAATAATCGTCAGAGAGGCTCGATTCTCTTTCTCTCTCTCTCTCTCTCTTCTCTCTCTCTCTCTCTCCTTCCTCTCTCTCTCTCTCTCTCTCTCTCTCTCTCTCGCACACGCTCTCTCTCCCCTCATTCCGCATTGTACACGTCACGTATGTACGCGTGATCGGGTGAAACCGCAGCTTCTCCCGGTGAATCTGCCGGATCCTCCGCCGCGCGTTTTCCCACCAGAGGGGAATCCTGAACGGGGCGTCCGTCGAACGGGTACGACGGAATCCTCTGATGCTTCATTCCTCGCTCGCGCATTCCACCCGGCTGGTGGTCTCACGGTGGCTCGCCTCCTCGCGAAGTGATCCCTTCTGCCGGTCCCTCTTTAAAGTCACCGGGCGCGTCTTCGGCGTCGCTACTTTGCAGACGGTGTCGCCCGGCATCGCAGCTCGGATCACGGCACGGGCATCACCGGTGGTCCATCTCGCATCTGGCACACACCTCGAAGACCGCATCATCGGAGACACTCCTCCTCCCCTCCGCATCCCGCCGCCGAGAACTGCAAATAGTCTGAAAATTATTATCTGACACCGATCTCGACGCGGATCGTTATCGGAATTGCTCTCTCGCGAGTGTGTTGATTCGCGAAGAACCTCGGCGACGGCGTGTCGTCTGTTGACGTTCTGTCGTCATCGACGACGACCGTGCCTCGTCGTTCATCAGACATCACTTAGAAGACACCCGATTCGGTCAATTATCTCGATCGTAGGTCGTCCCGTTTCGCAACGACGTACT